CCTCCCCTGCAGGCCTGTTGCCCCCAACTGCCCTCTCCTGCCGGCCATCTTGTGTTGGCCATCTTGTGATGATGTGAGGGTAGCCATCTTGTGGCAGCCATCTTGTGATGACGTCACAGTGGCCATTTTGTGACAACGTTGTGCAATGCCACCTAGGCTTTTATTATATAGGATATATATCTAAATATATCTAAAAATATTACCATTTCACCTTATAATCAACACAAAATAATTATTAATGAGCTATTTTACACTCCTCTCATGAACCAAGTCCTCAGGAATTGCGAGTATGTGTTATCAATTTGGATTGGTCACATTTTAAGTACTTAATGGCCACATGTGATGAGTGGCTATCCTATCAGACAGATGATCAACAAATCTGGCCGTAAAGACCTATTCAGGGACAGACACAGTATGCCCGCGGTCTTTACTAAAACTAGTATCACACACACTTCTCGGACTCCTTTAGAGCCTCAATCACTTTTCAATTTCCCTGAAACTAAATTTTGCATAATTAGACTATGGAGACAATTCCATGGAAATGTTTTAGCTGCTGTTTTGTTTAGCCATGTGGGCTGATCATAAGACAAAACAGCTGCCTCTGGGCACCCAAGAGGGACACAGTCCAGGAGCCTGAGTGGTCCGGCAGCCACTGGGCCTCTCAGCGCCCCCTCATTTCTTTCTCCAGCTCAGCTGGCCGTCGGTCAGAGGAGGGACAGAGCGCCTGTGAACTCTGACTTGGGGCAAGAATAAAAGCCCCAGAAGCTCTTAGGTTCAAGTGTGTGGAGACTAATTTCACCTTCGCCATCATCTGGCCCCTTCAGCTCATTGCGTGGTCAGTTTCCCAAGTCTTCAATGGAGTCTACGAGCAGCAATGAAAGAGGACAGACTTGTTTCAGGCACACGTGTGCCTCCACCAAGCCCGTCGCTCACTATGGCTACCTGCATTCAACCTGTCTTATACCTTCCAGAAAACCTTATAAAGGGATCGAAAAATGGCCCTAGCCAGTTTGGCTCCATGGATAGAGCATCGGCCTGTGGACTGAAGGGTCCAGGGTTCGATTCCGGTCAAGGGCACATGCCTGGGTTTCGGGCTCGATCCCCAGTGTGGGGTGTGCAGGAGGCAGCCAATCAATGATGCTCTCTCATCATTGATGTTTCTATCTCTCTCTTCCTCTTCCTTCCACTCTGAAGTCAATAAAAATATTTTAAAAAAGGAAAATTGTAAGCTCCAGATCATGATATCCCAGGAAATAAACCTTTTCCCAGCAGGAAACAAAATCACAGGGACGTGCAGAGGGGCAGACCGCCCGCAGATGTCCAGCCATGCCCACGCACACTGACTGTGGGTCTGCTTTTTAAAGGCTGCTGACAAAAGGCTGCTTCTGAGCTCCTTTCTCTCCAGCCTGCCTCATTGTTCCTCGGGCTCCTGCTGCAAAGGTCTTGGCTTGAGTGTGGAGCTTTGGACAGAAAATGCACGACCCTTTCCTTTCACTGTCACCCCCAAATGTTATACTCAAGCAGCAGCTGATCAGGAAACCGCAGGTTTCGAGACAGAATTACACCTGGCAACCACTTGGGGACGATGCATTATTCTTCCGGAAACAGGTTTTGTTAGATCGCCTTCGGAAAGCCGCACATCACGGCCACCACTGCTCACTATCTTT